GCACGCGGGTAACTCGTACAGCCCCGTAAAAATTTTTTACGGGTAAGTTTATATCTCGGGAACCACGGAGTCTAGGAGGCTGAAATTTTAGGGTAATGCCCCCCCTGCCCACGCTCAACCTTGCCCATTCAAATTAAGCGTTCTCGCGTTCTCGGGTACCACCTACGGGCTAGTGAAAATTTTGGCGGGTAAACTATTAACTCGGGAAACACGGAAAGATATTCATTCTCCAAGGTCTCGAATTCAGCTTTCATGCGCTGGTGCGTGAAATTTTTAACTGCTTTCCAATGTTTGAACTATTTTTGCATAGACTGAAGTACAAAGCAGTGAAAATCATTGATAGGCAATCGTTCGATGGACTGAATTGCACAAAACGCATGATCGCACTGGTTAGTCTGATACGCGTTGCTATTTATATTTATCTGCGAAAAATTCGTTCTTTTTTTCCTTACTGGAGTTATGCCCGATTTGTCAATGAAGAGTAATCACTAATGTTTCAGCTGAAAATCTGTTCATATCCACTCTCTTTGAGGCGCGGAGGCACCTCATTGAAGGCACATGAAGTGGCAGCACGTGCCAAAAGCAAAAGCTCGTTCCCTCTTAATGCTTAGAAGAAACCTGATAGCCCTTTTGACTCACTGCGTTTCGTACATTTGTTTCAATGACGAAAAGTTGTATGTGAGAAATTTCGGTCAAGTTTAGTCACATGCGGGTATTTTCATTGTTCGGTCAATGAAGGAAGGGAAGAATTTTCATAGCTTCAGACACTCACTGAAAATTCCTTGCAATAAAGCTACTTCGGAACACATCCGAGTTTTTCCGCCTCTGACGGACAACGAATACTGAGGGGGTTTTGATTTTGTTAGTAAAACCACACAATTTCATTTTCACCTCATATTGCCTCAAATTCTTCTTCCATGCAATTTCCAAATCCAGCATTAATTATGGCACTAATTCGATTGTGAACATTTTAACATACATTATTGTAGTTATCATTCAAACAGTCTCCGATGTGTTTCTAAAGAGATACTCGAAAAAAGTAAGAAAAACCCAGAAATAGCCTCGCCAGTTGATGGATAATTATTCTTTTAGGGACAGCTATTATTTGAGAAACAGTGAATTGTTCCGAAAGAAAACTGAAATTATAGAGCGTTATAGTCGAGTAACAAAAAAGAAGGATGTACATAATGTTTCAGGATAGTAGTCGCCATAGCCGACAGTTGTCATCGTGACGATGCACCTGAAAAACTGCTTTTTTCTTTACACTCACATATTTCAGGTTTTCTCAATCGCTATAGGTCGGGCGACCCAAAAAACATAGATCTTGATGAACGTAGATCTTGAGGAGGTCTTGTTTTCTTTGGTAACAATTACTGGATGTCATTTATTAAAAAATGATACCGAAAAGGCCATGCACCTTAGATTACATTCCAGAACAAAGCTAAAAATTCCTACATCTGTAGTCTAGCCGGGTGTGAACTTTAAATCCTACGGTCAGATAGTGCCATACGACAAAATGGCAGTTTGAATTCAGGAAGCCTACCATATTCCCAAAGTTTTGGTTTCTTGGCCTTGACTGCTCTTAACTTGGCACAGAAATTTTAGTGTAACCTAGAAATCAAAGATAAAAATACAATGAACTGTAAATACTGGTTAAGTCTGTTGTCCTTGTCATAGGCAAAAACCGTGTTTTGGAAATAAGAATTTGAAGTTTCTGAAGTAATCGGGTTAGACTATGCAAACAGACTCAGACTACAAGTTTCCCGTAAGCCAGTCTTCAGCAAATTTACTGGCTTGTGGCAGCTTCTTTTGTTTCCCAGAGAAAAAACAAAACAAAAAGGGCAACGCTTCCCAAGTGTTGTCGGATGGTACTACGGAAAGTTAGAGGTACATGCTCAAATTTTTCAGAGAATTATAGATAAAAGCTGTAATCAAAAAAAAAAAAACCTACCACCAGCCAGCATGTGCAATTGATCTGAATTTTGTGTTCGGTTCATCGCGCTCCGCAAAATACATTAATGTTGAAAAGAAAATTATTGCTGTTAGAAGAAATAGCAAAAGCATTGACAACTCCGGAAGGCTGCAAAAAACCCGACAAAATAATTAAAGCTTCAGAAGCCTTAAAATTCTAAACATTGCCGAAATCGTATTGCACATGTAGAGTTTGCAAAGTAAGTGATGCTACTCTCATATTTGAACGGCTAGATAAATAAAGCTGCATCAGTGGCGTGAAGTAAAGTAACAGGGCCATGAAACAAACACTGATCCAATTATCCGAATATATTACTTTTAAGTGACTGGTAAAAAGTGAATAGTAGTCCAGGATAAAGTAGCGTAAAGGTCCTGAGATGTTTAATTTCTTCACTCATACTTTGGAAACTTGAAACTGACCTAGTTTTGACAGTCATACCGAATGACTTCAGTCCGCTTGAGTATCGAGCTAGTTTAAATATTCGCGCAACCCGCATCACTCGAACGACACGCATTACCATCGCTAGACCACGAAAATCACCGATTGTATGAGCACCAAAACCTACAATATTTTGAAGAATACTGAGAAATAGAAAAAAATGTTAACTTCATGCAATTAAATTGAAGCGACTTCTTTTCTTGCATATTAAAAGTAACGGAAAATGAAAGGCAAACAGGAAAGTTTATCACAGATTCACAAAATGCTTCGTAATTGCTCAGTGACGCAATCAGTTTTCCTTAGAAAATTGGCCACTTTGATAGAACAAAACGCCTTTTGATAGCTTTTTTTACAACATACACTGAGTAACGCTATTTTTTTATTCACTAAATAATATATTGATAAATACTGAAAATAAAAAATCAATAGTACCATGACCAACTACAATACTTCATCCATACCTCACTCTCAGTGGAAGGCGGAAGAACCCAAAAGTAGCTCGAGTGGTGGCCTCTTAACAGCCCATGGTCCAATTTC